GGGAATTGCATACACTCAGGCCGACGACTCTCCCACACGCCCGCAGTTCGACCCGGAAGACTGCATGCGCGGCATTGTATCTTGGCCTACCGACGGATCTCCTGAAATCAACATCCACGATCGGCTTGACACCTACACCGATTCTAATTGGGGCCCCCAAGACGCTAGCCATCCCAAACCCGGCGAAACACGCACTGATGTCGAAATGCTCTCTCTTTTAGGTGCTGTCGTCACCTATATGGGTGGCCCTCTTGATTGGACAAGCACACGGGAGAAACGCGTTAGCCGCAGTGTTTGCGAATCCGAAATCAAGGCTATGGACGAAGGCGTCAAAATGATTCTGGCTCTCCGTCACCTTTTTGAAGATCTCGGCGTTCCCCATCTTGCCGAACCCACTCCCGTCATGTACTGTGATAACCAGGGGGTATTTCCTGGGCACAGTCCGAGGCTGTCACCAAACGCCTCCGTCACCACAATCTCCGAGAGGTGGCCGTGCGCGATTCTCTACGCCTTGGGGAAATCTCGCTCCATCACATCCCCGGCATTCTCAATCCCTCGGATCTCTTCACCAAGGAAATGAAGGATAAGCAACATTTCTTTGATCTCCGCGCCTGCCTAATGGCCCCACGCACGCCTGTCTAACGGTATGCAATCCAGGGGGGTGTTCGCGTTTGGATCGATACATAGACAGCCTGCAGGCTTATAGCTAAGGTGGCTCACCGCCATTCAATATAGACTCACTCTTTAAAACTGATGCACAATGGCGCTTCTTGCTTAATATCGTCTTTGTGCTTCAAATCCATTTCCATCTTTCAGATCTTTCCATTCCAAGTCTCGATTCGCTTGATCACCTGGTCCTTGGAGGGAACTCACTCCCACAAGTGCGCCTGAGTGAACTTGAAGTCCGCTAGCTCGCGGCACATTTCCTTGGCTTTATCGTCTGCCTGCGTGGCCGCGATCTTCTCTTCGTTGGTCGAAGCCTTGTCCTTCATCTTCTTGGCCTTTGCCAATGCCCCATCGACGTCCTCCTTCATGGAAGCCTGCGACTTTTTGAGAGGGATTTTCTTGTTGTCCTTCCCTGAGTTCAAGAACTTGAGGATTCCTTTTAGCATCTTTTTCTGCTTCTTCAACGTGTCTATCTTATTCGATATATTCTCCAATTGGGTTTCTTGTGCTTTACTGACAGAACGTTGGTGATTACAGAGGATGGCGACTTCACGATTGACATTGTTGTACTCGATCACTTTCTCAGCCGGGCTAAGCCTGCACCAGCCTGCCAGTTTTTCCTTCTTGCGCAACTCTTCCTGGAGAGTCTTGGATGCATTGTAAGTACGGAACACCTGATTGATGAAGCAAGGGAATTAATTAGCAGTCCACCAGACAAAAGCCTCATAGGGATATCTACAGCAAGGTATTACACTCATTCTGCCATACCTTCGCACTCAAACCGTCCATGAATTGCTTCAGGTGGTTGTTCAGCATCGTGGGATTGATTGAATCAAAAATCTCCTCTAAGAACCACAAAACCACACGGTGAGAGAAGGGGCAGTTTGCAGCATACATCTCTTGAAGGACGTACCAGTCTTCTTCTTTCCCTTGCAGAACTTCTTGAGGTTCTCGTAGACTTGACTCCCCATGCCGGAGTTCTCGTTGTAAAGCTGGGAACCAAAATCAATGGTTTGCTTGAAGAGCATTGAGTCCTTACCGAGGAACTCCAACTCAATCTCCTTGTTGTCCCTTCGTTCGGGCTTAGCATCTCCACGAATCAGAATGTAGTTTGAAGGGCCACTTCGATTGGTATTCTCCCGCTGGATATTGAACACTTACTTCATTCACATAGTCGACGGAATACATCTTCGGACACTGGCTTGGTGATGAAATTCGCAATGATGCATGCCCTTGCAAGATTGAGTTGGAAATTGGGGACAGGGGGTGAACCCAGCAAGATTCGCACTGTCATGATGCTCGTGTTCCATGATGCCCTTGGCAGGGTAGACACATTTTCCAATTCGTAGAAGAACAACAAAAAACGAGTTATTCTGTGTAAGATTCTGAATAAACTTATCGGTGTACATATCAAACATCGCCTGGAACATAGAGTCATTCAGTTTCATTGCGTCGCGTCTATCAGGTCCCAGGAAATCACGACATTTCATGTCACGGTGATTAATACGAGAGGCTGGAAAACCTGATAAAACCACCAGTAACCACAGAAGGGAAATGCACTTAGTGTACCCTGCGAGTTCGCACAATCCTGCTTGACCAAATGCTGGGGTTGATTTTGATTCCTCTAGAACAGCAAGAACATGATACCCTTCTTGTGGACCGGATTCTAGAAGAAGCAAAACTGCATGAAATGCAAAGGGATTGTTGTTGTTGGAGGTTGTATTACAGACACCTCAATACAAGTTATTCGTTTATCCCAATCTAGTTTAGAGGGGATATCTATATCAATTCTCTAGTTACATACATGGGGAGTTTAACTGATCTATATGGTCACCCCCTTCACTATATCCTTTGAAGTTGAATCAATCCCAGAAAACATGGAGAAAGATCACTTCTTGGAAATAGCTTAACATTAAAACAGTATTTTACCTTTACTAAGCTAGAGTGTTACTAGCAATCAACACTATTTCCAAGAAGTTCAACCTTTATCTCGAATTCGAGATCTCGCCAATGGTGATACCGGTATCGACATCAAGCATTGGATTCAAGTCTATGCTATAAGGTAAACAGTTCAACAGAGTCAAGGTACAGGCAGAAAGGGCTCTGGCCTCACTGAGAGAGCTATCCCAACAGCCTAGCAGGAAAAAGGCATCATCACGAAATCGTGCGCCTCCTTCACCAAATGACCGGAACGACGAAGAGATTGGTCCTCCTATACTGAAGACGATCAAATCATTGCAATCCAAGCATACCGCCTTGAAGATCAACACTAACTACATCACTTCTACACTTGAACGAAGTCAATCCAACAGGAACCGATCGAGTTGCAACTGATTGAAGATCTGCTATTAGCGGGCAAGGCAACTGCGGAGTGACCGTACGAAGCCGATTCGAGCGAAAGGAGACAAGCTCACAGGAGTGAGCTACGGAGCGAGGAAACGAACGAAACAAGTGCATCCAGCTCACAGGAGTGGGTGAGCTACGGAACCTGCTCAAGAACGAGCTCACAGGAGCGCACGAACAGAGCAAGAGCAAGAAGCAAAGCTCACAGTGGCTGAGCAAGCGAACATAAAGCTGAACAAGCTCGAAAACACCAAGACGTTTGAGCTGCGCTTGCAACACAGCCACTGTACAACTACTTGTACGGAAAACAACTACAAGAGTGGCGACAAGAAAGTTGCCACGAAGACCACAAGCTCACAGGAGTGAGCGAACGAAACGCAAGACACAAGCGAGCTCCCAGAAGTGAGCGAAACACGAAGACTTTGAGCTGCACAGTACACAGCTATCGTATGACTGGAGATACACATCCCAGTGCTGATACGAAAACAAACTACAAGAAGACTCAGATCTGCAAGTACGACGAAGTACAAGCAGGAGTAGCGGCCAAGCTATCTAGCTAACTACCACGACGAGTCAAGCAAAAAAGTGCGCTACTACGGAGCAGAAGCTACTGTACGGAGCAGAGCTACTGTGAGCACAACAGCAAGCTAAGAGGAGCGACACAAGAGGTGTTACCACAGAAGAGGAACGAGATAACAAATTCCAACAGGAATACCACAGAGGTACTTCCGTGGGAGTTCCTATCCTCAACAAGAGAGCCATCGAGTTGGCTACTAGAAGAGAGGTGCGACGGAACAGAAAATTCCAACGCACAACAAGCCATCTTACCAGGTCGTTCACTCGACCACGACAGGTCCTACGGAAGGACTGTCATACACGGAAGTGGGCTACCATACTGTCGGCAAAGCAAACGAAGAACAGCGACGCTGACAACAGGGTCGACAACAAGAGTGTCGGCAGCAGAAGCCACCCAGTCAACGAGCGATCAAACGACGACAGCTACTGCTACCAAGCCGCTACGGCGACAACAAGAAGAAGAAGAGTGTCGGCAACTGCATGCTGTCGGCAGAAGAAGCCATTGCTTTTTGTGAGGAAATCGCTGACAGCGCAACCAGTTCCACGGACCAACAAAGAAATGGTCTACCAGTTCCACGGAACAACAAAGAACAGCCTGCAGTTCAGCGAGCGACCACAAGACAACAGCCACTGAACGGAAAAAGGTATCTTTTCGTGACAAGGATCTTCCAAGCTGTCGAGCGCTCCGTATGTACATCGGCAACAAGAGGATTACATGGCGAATCCAAGACAAGACTCGGTACCAGTACGGATGCGCAACTGTACCGGACGAGCACGTCATGCACCGGATAGCTAGCTAGCTAGCTAGCTAGCTAGCTAGCTAGCCGACCGACACAAGAGCTACTGCAACAGTGCAAGCTGGTGCTATAGGAAGCACAGGAGTGCATCCGCCTCCAGCACCAGCAAATATTTTCTTTGGAGTGTGTATTGAGTTTACACTCAGCACCTCCTACTACCCTTTCATGGAGTGTGTATTGTGGCACCCAAGCCACAGCACCTCCTACTACTTTTTTGGAATGTGTATTGTGCAACTAATCCACAGCACTTCCTCCCTGATTACAGGCAAACCTGAGGCAACAACAGCCTCCAGGCAGGTAACAACAATACCATTACAAGTCCATGCCCTTGCTATCTGATCACAGCAAGTGCACAGGAGTGTGGTGGTACCCAAAATCCAAAACCTACAATCCTACAAACAAAATCATCATAACATCCGCCTTTATAGGCAATGCCGCAACCACCAACGGCATCAATGGCTACATCAACAGCCAGCATCAATGGCAACAACAGCCAACAACGGTATCTACCAATTGCCAGCACCAGTCACCACAAGTGACGACACCAGCAGTCACGAGTCTCACATGAGTATAAACAACCATGACAAGAGGAAATAATAACTCAACCATTTCCTCATTCCATCTTCAGACATCGAGACCATCCAAGAACTAGGTTCAGTCGAACCCAACAAGTTCGTGACTTCCAAGCTACATCATTTCCAGCTTCCATGCACCTTCCAATAGGGCATCACTTCCCACAAGTCTACGACTTCCAGAAGCTTCAACCAGCTTCCATCTACAAAGGGCTTCCAGCCCCATCAAGTGTCGATGCAGCCGAACTTTCCAGTCTGAGCCGCAGGTACACCAAGTGACGGTATCATCCAACCAGGAGTGGCATTACTCCCAGCAGGAGTGCCAGCCACAAAGACTTTTCCGATGATGACAATGTCCGTATTGTCTCGTCTCCACCGCTCAGCTTCTCGTTACCAACCGGGATGCCGAGCAACTACTTCCAAGGTTGGTTTTGGACTCATTGCACGCCAGTCGGCACGACGACGTGAGACTTGGATTACAAAGCCTTTCCAAGGTAGGAGCCTGCTTACCCAAGCACTGATAGACACTTTGAGTGCTATTGATTCTCAGGAATCCTAGAGGCACCGCCTCAAGCTCCACAGCAATCCAAGTTGCATCCAATGTCCAAACCAACCAAGCCAGCTTTGGCTACAACAAGTACAAGTCCTGCCACAGCTAGCTCACAGGAGTGTGCCAACAGTGACAGCAGGAGTGGTATTGATAAAGTTGTACCCACCAAAACCAAAGTCTCAAACCTTTTTCAACCTTCCTTTGAATTCTCCGATCGATCTACCCAGATTGACATACCAGATCGACTGACAAGAAACGATCATGCCAGATCGAATGACACGAAGCGATCGAATCACAAGCAGCGACCACGAGATCGATTCAGTTTGACTCTCGCGATCGACTCAGAAGATCCATCATGAGATTGCAAGTGCGACACAGAAGCCTATCAAGGCAGAGCAAGCTTACTCAAGCAAGGGTAGCCACACACCAGTGCTACCGGGATATCTTCTGCAGAGGATTCCCACCCCACAGTTCCACAGGAAACAGTTACCACCATGGAACCAGCTCAAAGCAAGCAACAATTCGACGGAACCGCCACAATTGCCAGCACCCATCTACAAGAGATGTGCAAACCAAGGTCCACATCAAGCAAGCTACATTCATGACGAAACAAGTCACAGCCATCGATTCCAAGGAAGAGATGCCTGATGAAGTAAAGAAGCTTCCCCAGCCTGGGAAGTAAGAGGATTCCATTCCTCTAAGAAGACAACAGCAGGACATCACACTTCTTGGACACCAACCAAGAAGAGACAGCTCACGTTCCAATCCAATGGACAACAAGCTAACTCCAGATAGCTACCAAGCTATTGCACAGACTCATGCTCAACTGATTTCCAAATCCAGTATCAAGACTGAATGGATTGATGTTTTCACACATCATTGGCGATTGAGCCCATGGCATACCAATGTCCAGTTCAGTCTACACAGCCAGTCAAGAGCACAGTTTGAGTCTACGAGAATGCAGCCGAAACTTCCTAGTTTCCAGCTACAGCAATACCAAGTGGCCGGAACTTCCCAGTCCAAGGTTCAAAAAGTGATCGGAACTTCCCAGTTTCGAAACAGCAACATCAAGTGACGGCACCAACTGCCACAGCAAGTCATACAGGAGTGACAACACTCACAGGAGTGGTAGCCACAGTGGCTTTTCTTGACGACACTGTCCACATGACCACATTGACTGTGACAGATTTGTCAGCACTGCCTGCTATGGATGACAAGCTTCTCCACACCAAGCGGGGAATGGCGAGCAACCTAGCAAGTGGTCTCTGGACCAACAACTGTTCCTTAAGGAGCAACCATCATTACATTAATTATTCGTTCCATGGTAGCCACTTAGGGCACATTGCAGGA